CTTATTCATAAGCAGATTAAACTGTTCAGCAAGTGGAGGGAAAATGCTAAAATCTTTGGAAGTACCTACAAATTTAAGGTAAATTCATTCTGTTCTATTAAGAAATATTAAATTCCAGGTAATTCAGCCTTTTAAGCATACAGAGAAGATGTTGATTTAATATCTGCTATACTGTTTAAGTTCCAGTATGGTTGCTACCATTGAATAGCTTTTTCAGCTCAAAAAAGTAAATACAAATGCTTACCCTGATTGTGAAAATATTGAGCTAATTAATGTGTTTGGTTTTATACAGATGGCAGCCTTAATATGAACAACATTATGATAAACCTACAGAAACAGTGCCTGGAGCAACTGGATCATTAAAAAAAAGTATTTGTTAAGCATTATTCAGGCTTGGTTCTGAATTAATAAATAAAGGATTAAGGAGTAGTTATGTGAGACTTTAAGTATAGAGAGATAAAACAAACTCCTGCATTTCTGTGGTGTATATTTTATCCTAACTAGATGCAATTTACTTAAATAAGGCAATTTAATCAGTATTTAGTAAATTTGTCATTTGATATTGTAGAATCTTTCATCATATTTCACTTTAATCAAGGAAGGTAACACCTGTGGTTTATTCACAAAAGCTTCTTTTGTTAAATGAACACCCGCAGGCCATGAAGCAATTACATTTGTTGCTTGTACCGAAGTAGGAGGCACTTAAATAGACCTTAGTAGGGATAGATGAGAACTTGCAGACTTGATTCTTTTGTCCAGCACTGAGATTAGTTCTTATCATAGCTCAAGAAGGAAGCCTCTGAACTGAAAAGAAAAGATGGGAATGATTTAAAGTTCTTCTTAAGTTTGAAACTTTGATATTGCTGGAGGTGATGTGAATACCTGTGACCTTACAAAAGTTCAAACATCTACTCCCAGCTGATTGTCCGTGCTGATGTTTTTTTGAGATTGCAAAACATTCATGTTTATAAGTCCCTTAAAATCATTAGTAAGAAATCTCTTAAAACAGAAAACCCAAACCAAAGAAGCCTGTTTTCATTTTGTTTGGTTTGGGAGTATTTTTGAGGCAGATAATTTAGTCTCTTAGCTTTATTTGCAATACATTAATTTCCTAATATGTCAGTTAATGCGGCATAGGGTTCTTATCTCTTAGGTTTGAAGAAACAAAAAAGTTTAGCATCATGTAAAGAGACCAAAATAATATTTGATTCCCCCTTTTTAAGTTAATTAATGTTTTATGCTGGTGAGTATGCATCAAATACCTGCCCTGTACTTCAGTTTTGCCACTTTAACTGCATCACTGAATAAATTCCAACAGCTCTGCAAATTTCGCCAGTTGGTCACAGTGAAAGAGAATGAACTACTGCTTCAAGCTCAGGTGTTCCCAAGGACAGTGGTGTTGTTCTGGTGGGAGCCTGGCAAGGGAGCAGAGTCGTGTCTCATGGCTCTTTCATTCTCACATGTAAGCTGCCCTGCAGATAACTGCTTCTGCCTGGAAGTAAATGCTGGGATCATGTGCAGGAGCAGAGGACAGGGGGTGCTGAGGCAGAGGAGTGGCCTGCAGACACTCAGAGGCAGCATTTCCCAGCAAGCTGCACTGCTGAGGAATTGCTGCTTCTGCAGGAGCCCCACTGGTTCTGTGAAATTCAGCTGCTGAAGTGAGACACTTTCCCACCTTTAGTTCTGGCCTATGTGTAAGGGAGATCAGAAATGCTGCCCAGCCCAGGGCAATTGCTTTTACCCCATCAGTGTGGCTTTGTGGTCACTGTCCCTCTGTGTAGTGGGAACTGTGATTTCAGTGGCACTTCTTGGATGCAGTTTACTTTGTCTAAGAGGTCCATTGCCTGGAGATACCAAAATGCAGCCAATGCTGTGAGATGTCACACAAGTGGCTTTCCCTTTGCCTTAGGTTTTTTGGCAGCAGCAGCAGCACATTGCTGTGTAATTAATACATTCTTACTAAAAATACAGGTTTCCAACAATAATTTTTTTCCCTTTGGTGAATATTTTTCCCAGCTAGTGTGCCTGCAGGGCTTTGCAGTGTTTCAGATTAGGTCCTGGCTCTGCAAAGGCTGATACTCCAAGTGAACTATTCCCTGTGTGTAATCGCACTGAGATCAGTGATATGGTATAGACATGGCTTGGTGCACAGAGCCTTGAAGGATTCTGGCACTGGTCTTTATTTCAAATGGGTTAATACAATTTTTTTTTATTTTTTAATTAATGATTATGGCCTGTCACTGTTATTTGGTTTCACATTTTCCTGTAATTCTTGTGATTTTTATTGCTTAATTCCAGGTTGTAGTGAAGTGCTTAGATGATGGACAGACACCCTACAAAGGTATTACAGTGCATTATCCCTAGATAAATTGCACATTATGACACTCCTCTTAATGCCAAAGTCAGAGGTGCAGGGCTCAGTCATACCTTCCAGGGAGAACTGCAAAGATGACCTTTAGTGACATAGGAAGACACTTTACTGCAAATGTTCTACCTGGAATGAAAACTGTGAACATCTTGTCTAGACAAATAATTATTCCTAGTACTGGAAGTAGTTTTATGCCATTGCAGGCAAAAGCAATTTATTTTTTTTTGTAATTTTGGAGCTTGGTAGAAATATGAGAAGTGTTCTATGAAGTTTTTGGATATACTTCAGTTATGAGTGGTTCTTTATTTTACACAGTAAAGGATGAGCATCACATTCTGCCTGTGAAATGGGGAGAAGTGAGCAAGTACAGGAACCAGAACAGCACAAGGGGAGCTGGCAGGGAAACAGGAGCACATTGCAAGAAGGTGATGTTTTTGCAGCAACATGAAATGTTGGCATGGGTTTGCTTTCTATATATAAAGAAAAAAGTCTTGCTTTCATAGTAATTCCAGCTTGTCCTGTTTGTGTATTTGCTGGGGGAGTCTGTCACAGTGACAGCAGTTTGGTGTCTGACTCGTTATTCCAGGACATGTTGGACAGGGGAGTTTGCACCAGAAGGGCCAGGATGCTGCCTTGTACTGTTATCAACACGGGAGAAACAAACTCCCACGTGTGAGGTGTGGACACAGGGAGTGCTTTGGTTGGGTCCACTGAACTTAGTGAACACAACCAACCAACTACCCTGCTGGAGATCCTGAACCAGTGAACACAACCAACCAACTACCCTGCTGGACATCCTGAACCAGGGAACACAAACAACCAACTACCCTGCTGGACATCCTGAACCAGGGAACACAACCAACCAACTACCCTGCTGGACACCCTGAACCAGGGAACACAAACAACCAACTACCCTGCTTGACATCCATGTTCCATGGAATCTTTGAGGAGAACAGCAGTGACAGCACATGGTCAAACAGAGACCTATAAAAGCACAAGATGCACATTCTACTCAGGTCATCATGTGTGGATTCAAGTGCTGAGGGCAGGGTTTGTGCCCTCTGACACACCCAGAGCCCCTTTCCTGAGTGCCACAGAAATGCAGGGGCTGCTTGGGAGGGATGGACAGGCTCACAGACACTTTCTGCACTGCCAAAGGCCACCTGTGGTGTCTCAGTCCACAGCTGGCACATCTGCCACAGCTCAGCAGAGGGTTCTGGCAGTAGTGTGCCAGCTTTGATCCCGGTCTGCTAACAGGCACGTGGGAGCTGGGCTAAGCCAGAGCCTCAAATTAAAGACCAGCTTCCCAGGGAGTGTCACCTGGCCAGATACCTACAAGTACCAATTGCAGTTTCTTCCACTGGGGGTCCTGGATTTGTTCTTCCTGGTTTAAAACCAGCCTTTATTCGAGTGGTGTTTATCTGTTACCCATGAACTCTCTCTTATGTAGACTATTGTGTTTAGAGTCTGCGTGGCTCAGTTCTAAAACATTCATTCTACTCGTACTTTAATTTTGAATAGTTTGTTTATTTATTTATTTAGTTTCTGTATGTTTTTCCTCTGAATTGTGGCCATGGTACACGTTTCAATGTGTGTGTTTCAAGTTCATACTTGGTTTTAGAAAAATGTATGTTAGTTAAAAGTCCATATTAAATATTCTCTGGATTGAGAATATGTTGCTTCATTTAAATTTTCAGCCTGGTTTAAAGTTTTAGAAACAAAACTCAATTAGAAATATAATTATTAAGTGAAGGGAGGTTATTTGTATCGGAATCGTTTTTATGAAAATGTTACAAATAGTATTGTATGTTCCAAGCAGATATCTTAGTTTAAGACTTGTAGGAACAACTTTTTCACATATGAAAGCTTCATACTCTCATTTAGGTAACTATTACAGCTATGTTGCTATTTCTCATTTTGTCATTGAGTTAGCCAGTGAATGCCATGAATCTGTGGTATGTAATATAGTTAATGCATAATATATATGGGCAATGAAAGGTCTTTGTCATATAGTATAAGGTCACCATCATTAATTTTCAAATTATAAAAAGGGATTTGCTGTTTTGTGATCATCATTATTGCAATATAATGTGTTGTGGATTCTGCCTGCACATAGAATGAACTGTGATCTTAATTAGAACTTTGACAAGCCTACTCCGATAAAATGATGAGATTATTCGTAATTGATGTCACAATCAATTACCAGTTAGTTCATCATGAATCTACTAACAGGTCTAGCCTTGGTGCTGGCCCCAGGATGTTGATGAGTGTGTGGCTGCCCTGTTCATGCTGTTACTGCGACAGGAGGGCAGATTTTCAGTCAACATCCTAATGACCTCTTTTGAAGTCTATTAAATTAATGACCCTGTCACATTGGTCTAACCTCTTACATCTTCATTTTGGATTTTTTGTTGCAAACCATTGGTTTTTGAGCACATGATAGAACAGATACTTTGGAGCACTCCTTCTCATCCCTCTAAATCTGGCAGTGGGTCTTATTAGACTCAATAAAATTCACTACACAGTCATGAAATAAAGAGCACAGAAATCAGGAAAAACACTGTAAGGCAAAATATGCTTAACACCATTCTGTTCTGATTTCTTTTTACATTTCCATCTTGCTTAATCATAGGTGCCTAAAGGACATGTTTGGTTAGAAGGTGATAATCTCAGGAATTCTACAGATTCCAGGTGCTATGGACCTGTTCCTTATGGGCTGATAAGAGGACGCATTTGTCTAAAGGTATGTGGATTTATACTATCTAAAAATAGCTGCATTGAAACATTTTTAATGCATGGGGTGTTAGGTATTGAAACTTGCCTGCCCAACTGTGTGGCCAAAACAAATGTAAAGGAAAGCATGAACACTCCACCACCTGCTGTAAAAGGATAAATCAACAATGATGGGGTTTTGGAGGGAGGACTTTGGAGCAGCATTGAGCAGTCATTGCTGTGAAAATTGAATGATTTATTTTGCAAGCAAATCCAAACATGATAAAAACACAAATGTACACACATACACCCTACTGCACAGATGTACATTCCATCCTTACTTTGATTCTTGCCTCTCTGCAAAATGGTTTTTCACTGTTGCAGCTCTGTGGTCCAAAAGACAAAATGAAGGAAAAGATTCTTTCCAGGACTTGCACACACACTTTGGACATGTAGCCTGGCCTTGCTGCTTTTTAAACTAAAAAGTGCTTTGAATGAATATTGTACTGTATAAACCATCACAGTTCCTTTTCCTTCTGCTTCAACAATTCTACAATTTTATTTCACACTCAATTATTTTTTTTGTATTATCTGCATTACTAATTTACTCTTTTACCAAAAAGAAGAAATGCAACACAATTTCCTCTCCATAAAAAGTTTAATCTAAGAAACAGGGGAGTGTGTGTTACACACTTATGCACCTGCTTTTAGAAAGCTGGGTTTAAGTTGTGCATTCAGAACAATAAAAAAACGTTTTCTCCATATACTTCAACACATCCACAAACCCATAATTTAGCACACCTGTACTACACAGGGAAGATTAGATCTTTTCAATTTAACAAAGTCTCATATCCTTAATTTACAGTATTTATGAACACAATTTGGGACTTTTCAAAAAAGACCCCCTTACAGCTATTGAGGACAATCAGTAATTGCTTTCTAAACCTCAGACAACACGGCCTCCTCAGCCCTACTGGCAAATTTTGGGTGACTTCTGTTCCTCCTGGCTCACAATTGCTCTGAGTTCTTCCCAGGTGTTTAGCTGGGGCTCTGCCCCTTCTCCTGCTGTCTGCCTTACCCTGGACACCAGAGGGGAAAATGCTGATTCCCAGCAGGGCTATTTTTATGACCCAAGTTTTAGTTTGGATTACTGACTGCTAGGAGACAAAGGATGCTAATTTGCTGACACTCTTCTAATGAGAATGTGGTGGCAGTAATAATGCAAAAAAAGCATTATTACTGTAAAAAAGCATTTCTCCAAACTGATGCACAGGTATAGAAAAGCTGCTGTTTGCTACTTTAAGGGGACTGTTAGCAAACACTGGATCTGTCAAGAAGCTGTGTGCATGGACAGCCAGACACAGTCACAGTATCTCTCCACAGCAATAGATTTTGTGTCCAGCTTGTGCCCTGACAAGGAAGGTGTTTGAAAGACCTTAATGAAGTGATTGACAGGACTGAACCCTGAGTACACTCTGTATAATGAGTGGAACTCACACACAGGTAATTCATATTGAAGCACTACTTTAGGGCTACAGAGCATTGACTGCTAAAAAAGATATTATGCAATCACTTGATACTTAATTGAAATAATTTAACCAGATTTTACAGCAGTTATTTAATGACAGTGGCATAGAGTAAGATTATTCAAGTTTTCATGAGATTTAATTATATGGTGCCTACCAAAAACAAAAATGAATTTGTTCTTCAGATGAGTGTTTGTAGTTGTGTTATGGTAAGTCACAGGAGCATGCAGTGGTGTTGCTGCACACTGCAGTGGAAGGCAGCAGGTACAGCCTGCATGGGGCTGGCTGACCACTGGCCAGGAAACTTCTGTGTGCTTTTAATGCAGCCTGCTGCAGCTTTTTGGCTTCTCTTTCATCCAGCAGCTTTTACTGCCTTCAGAATGGAAGCTTTTGTGGCTTAATCTTACAGTGGATTTTGGAGAAGCAGATGAAAACAGTGCCTTTCAGTGCTAAGTTACTTCTTTAGAAACAGATACGAAAAAACCCAAATATAATTTCAACAGAAGAGAGTGAGCCTAGCTGGCTGAATTTGTTTAGCCAACCTATTCTTGGCAAAACATGAATGTTTTTCTGAAGTTTAGACCAAAGGTTCTCAGTCAGTGTTGGTGCACCAGTTTTTAACCCCTACAGAAATACCAACACGTGATTCTGTCTGCTCCTTTTTCTCCCTGCAGCCACATGTCCTGCCACTCCAAACACAAAGTCATTCCACAAAGGGCTGCTGAAATCAAAGCAGCTGCAAATTCAGTAAAAGCACCGGGAATCCCACTTTGACAGAACTCATGCTTCATCCTGTCCTAGGTAGGACATCCTGTGCATTCCCTGGATTTAGGCTCCATGTCAGAACTAGACCTATGGTGTATCTTCAAAAGAGCTAGTTAGCCCCATTTATGCCCCATCCATCAGATCAAATCTATCTATGTAGGCCAAAGCAAAGAGGGCAAAAGCTGCTAATTGGAAGAGCCAGTCTGAATGAGCAAGTCACAGTCAACTTCTGTCAGAACTTAAAAGGACTCTGGCATCACAGAGTGGCATGTCTTTGTTTCACAGAGGAGGGGTTTCCATCTCTTTCCAGCCATGAGTATTGTTTCTCAGGTTCTCCCTGCATGCCGACTAGATAAAATATCATTTTCATTCGAACTCTATAACTAAGACTACTGTGACAAATTTCAAACTACACTGTCAAAGCAACGTTTAAAGCTAAGTTGATTACTTTCATTGAAAGAAAGTCAAGTTGCAATAGGTGTGATTTGAGTTGCCTGAAATGAGATTTGTGCTGGAGTGAACAGATTAAAAAACTTCCTTCTCCAGGCCTTTACTGAGATCAGCTTAGATTTGTTATATGGGATGTTTTTCTTTCCTTTTACTTCTGTTTGCCTTCAAGGCCAAACAAAGACTTGACACCCAGCCTGCAGCCAGCACAGGCCCTCTGGACAGCCTTGAATTCTGCAGCTTTGCTGCTAACCAAGATCACAAATACCCTTCTGTTGCTGGCTTGTGTCTGTATGTTTGTGTGGAATTTAAAACAGCTCACCGGCTGATGAGCACAGAGACAAGGCATCCCCTCTGTGGTTCTGTGTATCAGCAGCTCTCCCTCGTGCTCCTCCCTGACTGCACAGGCCAGAACCACAAGGATTTGCTGAGATCTTGCACAAGAGCCTTTTTCTGATGCACAGGACTTCAGTTGCTGAGCATGACTCATCCTTCAGCCTTCCTGAGGGCCCATGCAGCTGCTGGGGCACAGTGCTGCCAGGGCTGCATGGCAGGAGCCTGGAGCCGTGCACAGCCCCAGCCTGTCCTCAACTGCCTCAGCCTCTGTCATGGGGAAATAACTGTGCCTGTGCCTGTGCCTGTGCCTCCTCCTTTAAATGAGACAATTACTCTCTCAATCCACACAGAAAGTGGCAAAGGCACCTTCTGTACTGTGGCTGCTCCATGAACTCCAGAGCTGCTGTTTGGTTGCTGTTCTTATACCTTAAGATAAGCAAGAGAAACAAAATGCTGACAGATGCTTTGGGAACAAGGTAGTACCCCACCTTGAAATTTTTATGGGATTAGAGCCACAGAGGGCATTGATTCTTCAGCATCATCTTTCCCTTCTTCCTGCTGAGCCCCTTGTGCCATCTTTGAAAGGACACAGACATTCAAGGGACACAAAGGACAATGAGTAAATGAATATCCTTGCTTTCCTATTACTTTTTTTTTTTTTTTGCATCCAAGACCATCCTACATGTAATTAATGACTGTGCAGAGCAAAGTACTCCTGGGAGAATTCAGTACACTAACAGCTATACAGTTCATTTCTGGAGAGAAGATTTGTTTGTTGGTCAGCATCATTCTCTGACACCTCTACTTGGTGATGAGTTGTGCTCTTTTGTAAGTAACTGTCTCCTTCTCAGAGGAGCCCCTGGTCCAGAGCCTGGATGGTGCCAGGCACTCCACCCTTTCATTCCTCTTTGTGTAAGTTTACCTGTAGTCAACACATCTTTTTTTTCTAAGGTTTGGTATTTTCACTTCAAAGGCCCATCTTGAAAATACAAATGTACACCTCACCATGGGGATGTCCATGTGTGGGGTGCTTTTTTTCTCCTAGATGGACCAAAAAACTCATTCCTTGTCTTTAAAGTCATGAAGAGCTTTACAAGCTAGAAAACACAGAATTGGAAAGACACTCTTTAGGAACATATTTATTTCCAAGGGTGAAAAAAGCAATGGAATTTGTGAGGCTCTCCATAGCAAAACATGACCTGTAAAAATTAAAGTTCACACTATGGAACAATTCCCTGTAACACACAGTATTTATTACTCCTAGTAAGAGAAGCACATCAGTGAACAAAGTTCTTTACCAAAGAGAGGAAAAATTATGCTGTTTATGAAACAATTTTGATAACAAAAAAATACTAAAATTTGAATTGTGATTAAAATCTCTTGTAACTGTGCTTTATTTTACAGATATGGCCTCTTAATGACTTTGGATTTCTACGTGCAAGCCCCAATGGCCACAGATTTCTTGATGATTAAAAGACTTAAGTTACTATTGACAGTTTTCATAGTATTTTCTACTAGAATGAATGGAACTATTTTTGTTTAGAATAAACACAAATATTACTTGACAAAGATGTCTCTGAGATTACACCTAACTTCAGAGTGGGAATGCTACACTTGTGGCCCCAACAAAAATGATGTGCCTCTTGCTCTGCTTCCTCTGGCAAGCCACAGTGAGTGCTTGGATTTATGGGCAAGTTGTGGGGTTTAGTTCCAGGCCAAGGTTAGCACTGAGTGTTAAGAAGGATGGAAAGGCACAGTGCACTTCCTGTGCTGTCACAGCCAGAGCCATCCCCTGGCTCTCCCTACATCAGCAGGTGGTGCCAGGGCTGGCACTGATCACCAGTGGGGTTCCAGATCTGCTGGTCACTCCCAGGAGTGCTGTGGGTTTCCCTCTGACTGCCCAGGGCTCAGAGCACAGCTTCCTCCTCAGCTTTCCTCTCAGGAATGACAACTCCTTCTTTTCTGACACTGGAGAGCCTCAGCTCAGCATGTGCTGCTGCTCCAGGCTGCCCAGGTGATGTCACTGCCACAGGGCAGGGCACAGGCACCAGCCCTGCTCCTCAGCACTGGGACACCCAGCTGCTTCAGCTGCCAGCCTCTGCCTCCTCCTTCGGGGCTCCAGCCTTTGAGAGGATTTCATCAACTTAAATATTTCGCTTATAAACAGAAAATGTTCCTGCTTCCCACTGCTGAACCTTGCTCTTCATTATCTTCAAAGCATTCTCACACTTGTGCCTCCTGATGGAATTTTGTCATCTGAGCTGTTAAAAGGATTTAACCTAAGAGAAAGGGCCCAAGGTAGAGCTGCTTCAGACTGACATTGGAAGAAGCCACTCTGGTGTTTGATGGAAAGAAAGGTTTAGATCAGGAGAGACATTCCAGCTGCAGAGACCTCATGTTCTGGCTTGGAGGTGTTTAATAATGAGCTCTTCAGCTGCAGAGGGAAAATCCAAGCCTCATTCTACAGAGCTGAGTGAGCAAAAGGGCACTTGTCATTTTTAAGCCTGAATTCACTTGTTCTTGTAGTGCTCCCCTTTTCTTTAATATACATTTCTTTAGCAGATGCTGTCACTTGTTTGTCCAGTCTTTTGAAAAGTTTGTAACACTCACTGTGCTTCATTGAAACAATCATTGCAGGATCTCGATAACAAGTGAACATGTGTCACAACAAACCAAAGACACATCTTTGCTTTCACTCTTGAAGACACTGTAATTCCCACCACATCGACAGGACAGAGTGTAGAGCTGTTCATCTGCCAAAAAGAAAACAAAAATGCCTTTAGTGCTGGAGAAGAATCAAGAATTTATTTGGAATTTTCTTCACAAAGCTGCTCTTAATAACAAAAAACCTCCCATTGCTGGGTTGTAAATATCAGTACCTGTGCTACTGTTTGTAGCTCAAAAAATAATCTCAAAATGTTTCAGTGATTGAGGTATTCTTACACTGAACAACCAGGGCCACTGGAGTCTCTTAAAAAAAACAACCCCAGTAATAACAAGGTGCACATCTGTGAAATGGATGATGCTGAAAGAAAAACCTAAGTGGGGTTAGTCATACATGTGACAGGCTGCTAACCCAGGAACCAAAACAGAAGAAAGGAAAGTAGGATTCTTCCCCTCACAACTTAAAATTAAAAAAAATAAAAATCAGCCATATATTCCAAAAGCAATTAAACAAGAAAAGCCCGAGCAATAGACAGGAAGGAAGTAACAGTGGCAGGCAGATGAAAAAAAATAAACACAGGCATTTTACCATCAGGGAAGAGCAAGAAGATGCACAAGAGCTATGGGAAAAATCTGTGCACTCTCAATTGTACACGAGGAGAGATGGGTGAAAAGTGGTACTGCAAGTGAGGGTGGGGAGGAGTGATGTAGATGGAGTGGAAAACAAATGTAACAGAAAGTTAAGTTCTAATCCAAGTAATCTCAGAGAGCAAAACAGCTCTGTGCCAGGAAATACAGAAAAAACAGCACTTAAAGTAAGACAACAATGGTGCAAGATGCAGAAAAAACCAGAAATCATTACCAGAGACAATGAAAAGCATTAGGAACCAGCAGCAAGGCACTCATACCTTCATTCCAGGACATGTCCTCAAGATAAATCTGTTCATGAAGTGGCCATTCTTTTGTCAGGTTATCTTCTATAAAGCAAACATGACGAATGTTCAGTCTTTTCTGATAAATGAATAGTTTTATATACCTAGCAGTCAATCTGGTCCTTACTAGACCACTGTATCAGTTCAAAATGTAGTTCTCTAAAATTTTAGTTTCCATATATCTGCCAAAGCTGGAAAATGTCCTCTTGTAGCCAGGAGAAAGAAATGGTGAGAATGTATTAGTGAATTAAGACCCTCAAACCAGCACTTTGCACATTCCACTTTGTGAAATCAGGGAGAAACTTCTGTTTTGATGTAGATGCCTTTCAACACCTGGCTGTAACTGCAACTCCAGGAGCTGAAATGGTGAAGCTCTGCTAACCTGCACTTTTCACTGATCTGGGGGACAGCTGAGGTCCAAAGGGACCTCTCAAGATCACCTATCAGGATGGGCCATGTCCAGGCAGATATTTAAAATCTTCACAAATGGAGACTTCTCAGTATCTCAGTCTCTCTCCCCACTATCCCTCAGGCAGCCCATTCCTCCTTAGAAAGGAGAAGCCAAATAAAAACCTTCCAGTAAGCTCCATGGGAATGCTGTGTGTGAGAACACCACTAAGACTCCTGCAGAGAAATAAATGCAAAACACTTGGAGGGGAAGACCAGTGCAAGTGCTCTTTTATGATACAGCATCTCTGAGCACAGAAACAAAGTCAGGTTCTGCTCTGTACCTGAGAGATCTGCTGCCATTTGATCCCCCAGACTCTTCCAACACTGAGTACAGCATCAAATGCAAAATGTGCAACACAACTGACAGCACCAAATGCAAAGTGTGCACTACAAATCAGTGTTTCTTCCATTTATCAGCAACTCTTATTTGATGTACAAAGTTCACATCAATTTGTTTAGCTTAATAATGTGAGAGCTTGTCATCAAAGTTACAAGTGAAGCCATAAAAAATAGTATCTAAAAAGTGAAAAAAAGACATAAATCCCTTATAACTTAATGACACAAAACCTCCTAGCTGCTGCCTGAGCCCTGAAAGCTCCAACTCCCCAAATCTGTATTTTGAAGAACAAGAAATGCCCAAAAGCTGAACTACAGGACATACACAGACATGCCCTGGGTTTGGCAGGACTCAGGAGCTCAGTGCCTACCTACAGTTTAAATGGGGTTGTTCTTGAGGAGGGAGGTCTTCCTCCTCTTGGAGTGTTGTTTATAGTTCAGTGGCTTTTGAGAGCATGGAGGGTTTTCTACAGCTTTCTTTGAAAAGCTGGCAGTGAAATAATGTCTTATTCCAGCACTGTCAGAGGCCCAGATTCCATTGTTTTAATTCCCAAGAGATTGCCCTACTTAATCACTACTTAATCACTCCAAGTGGTTCCCAGCTTCTTCTGTGTCACTTGTAACTTCCATGTAACTTCTTTGCTCTGGCCTGAAAAGTAGAACTGAGGGACTTTGCAACCCCATCTCCAGCAGCAGCCCAGAAAAGCTGCCCCTCTCCAACCCTGGTCTGATCAGGTCATGGAGAATTCCTTCTTCATCACCACAACCCAACCACCAAGTATTAAATCCCAGTGTTCCTTTTGCAACTCACTGTTCTATTTTCAACTGAAATGTACATTATATATGCCTGGGAATGAGCCTCATCTAAATTAGTTCTAATGAAAGTAAAGTGGGACACATTGGAAATAATGACAGGATCAGTACAGCCTCTTTTATGTTACCTTTGCTGAACACCTATTTGGTAATGAAAAGGTCAGAACCAAAAGAAAATTAACCCATTCAGATCCAGTGCTTTACTACTCTCAAAAGAAAGGGGAAAAATCAGCAGGAGTGTATTGATGAAAGACAACAGGAAAACTGGTTATATGGAGTAGCAGCATTTTCCTTGTACCTGATCAGAACATTAGTTAACACTGTGAAGTGTCAAAATACAATCCAGGATCAGATGGGCTCATCTCATCCCAAATAACACCAATGTTACTGGGGTTTGCTTGGTACAAGCCATAAACCATGAGGACTGGAATGGTGAATGTCCTGAAAACACCCAAAACCCAACCAGAGGCCTTTCCTCCAGCAGGCCTTGCTTGAAGCAGACTCCTCCTTTTCTCTGAGGAAGAAAACAATAAAAAAATAAGAGTTCAAAATCAAGTTTGTTTACCTATCTGGCTCACCACTATGATCAAATAAGACAGTACCAGAGCTGTGAGAACAGTATGAAAATGGCAAATGCTTCATATGTCACACGTTTATTTTTAATACTGGGAAGAAAAATTCACAATTTTCACAAAGGGAAAGGGTCTCAGGTTGTAGAATGAAAAGATTTGCATCTACAAGTAACAAAAAATGGAGTAAGAAAACTTTCAGAGTTTCCTATTTGGAATTAATGAAGCAGGATTTCTCCTGGAACAACTTTTATAGGATTGGTGGTGGAGGTCTGGGTCATGCCTCAGTACTAGAAAGTACAAGAAGGGCAGATGGGCCATGAGCCACCTGAAGAGAACTGGTATGATGCAAATTCATGAGGTTACCATACTGCAAGTAAAGGAACTGTGAATCACAGAACCACAGCATCACTTATGTTGGAAAATACCTTTGAGATCATTGAGCCCGACCATAAAGTAATGAAGAAGCAGCTGAGAAAAAGACTGCTCTCTCTTCTATTCTGAACATGGTATAACACAAAGAACAGAATTTCAACAGGGAACAGAATTTCAACAAAACTTTTCTCATTCATCCCTGCAATTGTAGTTCTGAAAACACAAAAAACCCCAACCAACAGGCAAAATGAATCCTTCTCACAATTCCCTGGCTGAACAGAGATCGTTATTCCCCATCTGATGCTCAGATCCCAAAGGACAGGCACAGCATCAGCAGCTGGGCAAGGGAGGGGATTGTCCCACTCTGCTCTGAGCTGGGGTGGCCTCACTTCGTGTCCTATGTGCAGTTTTGGGTGCCACAATATAAAAAAGACATGAGGCCATTAGAGAACATCCAAAGGAGGCCACGAGGAAGGTGAAAGCCTTGAGGAGAAGCTGTGTGAGGATCAGCTGAGGGCACTGGCTCTGTTCAGCCTGAAGGAGTCTGAGGTCACACCTCAATGTGGTCTTCAACATCCTCAGGAGGGGAAGAGGAGGGGCAGGCTCTGATCTCTTCTCTGTGTGACAGTGACACGACTCAAGGGAATGGCCTGAAGCTGAAATCAGGGGAGGTTTAAGCTGGATCTCAGGAAAAGATTCTTCACCCAAAGGGTGTTTGGGCACTGGAACAGCTTCCCAGGGAATGGTCACTGCACCAAGCCTGGCAGAGCTCAGGAAGTGTTGGGACAATGCTCTCAGGCACATGGTGTCACTCTTGGGGTGTCCTGTGCACGGCCATCAGTGATCCTCCTAAGTCCCTTCCAACTCAGCATATTCTTTGACTGTGATTCCCTGAAGTCTGAAATCTGGTTATCTCAAAAAATAATAATTTTCTATTAGTACTCTTGACTTCACACATAATCCAGTAACAGCTCTTGCCAGGCAGCTTTGCACATTGCATTTATTTGCCTGTCTGGTTCAAGCAGGAGGAACATTTCCCAAAGATGAACAAAGCTTTTCTATTTTCTAGTTCTCCTACTGAATACATTACCCAGCCTAAGACACCTTGAGACAGCAGAAATAGAGGAAGCCACTTACTTAAAAACAGAGGCACTGCACAGTCTGAGTCTGCAAGCAGAGCATCCATCCTAATGGCTCCCATAGTGACTCAGATTTCTTGTGCCCTTCCTTATTTCATCTGCATCGTTGTTATTACAACCCTGGCTCCTTGCTGGTGCTTGTCTGAAGTAAACTGGTGTCCCATTTCCACTGCCTGGCTGAAGGAGAGTGGGAATTCACCAGTGCTGACTTTTGTGGTGGCCTTGCCTTGTCTGCTCAGACTGTAAAACTCAGTGCACAGAGCTGTCATTTCTGAAACACACCCTGAACATACAGGGGGAAATGGGAGGACCTGATCGTCCACCAGAACACCAGAAACTAATTTTAATTCCCCAGCAGCACAGCCTGCCTGGCTTTGCCATCTATTGGATTTGTCTGACAACAAGAGGTGAAAGGATTCTGCAGCTCCATTGTCTCAACTGCAGGATCTAAGAAAACACTGGCAGGCTCATCAGAGAGGTTTATGAGCCTGCAATTCAAAGAGATTAAAAGGAAAAATCTACTGAGATTCTTTCAGGCTACAGAACAACATTAAATAACTATTAGCAGCTTGGTTCAGTAAAGCTTTACTAGAGCCCTTGCTGGGTCATTCAGAAATTGTAAAAGAGGAAAGGTATTTAAGTTTCACTTGGAGATACAATAAATATTTCTTGGGCTATTTAAGGCTGAGTTTTAGGGAAAGGGTTGCAAGCAGTAAATGGAAATTCAACCCTTTTAACAGTTTATGGTTATAGTAAAAATAGTCATAATACCTCAAAGATTTTTCTTTATCAGGTATACATACTTATTTTCTTTTTTAAAACCAAACACAATTAAACTTCAAGATATGTACTGTCAGTCAAATACTGTCCACAGTATCTACTCTGCATAAAAATCACCACAGTACTCACCTGATGTTTTCACAAGTTAATTTTTTCTAATAGGCTTTTCAGTTTTAAAACAATTACTTAAATATCACATTTACTAATTTGAAATTTTAACAAGAAGTCATGTGCTAAGAATTTCCATAACAAAGAGATATGTTTGTTATAAAAATACCAAAACAATCCTGCTCCACTCGTTGCAGATGAGATTTAACTCCAGAGAATTTCAAAGGCTTGTGCTCCAGCTGAGGGGCTGCAGGCACAAATCCATGGCTGGAGAAGGAATACTCACTTCTGTGACAGCCAGAGCAGAACCTGGCTCACTGCAAAACCACTGCTACTGTCAGCACAGCCAGCACTGCTGACCAGATATTACAAATGAGCTGGTTTAGGCTAAGTACCAGTTTTTGTTGTGCTTCACTGTGTGATGGAGAGGAACAGAGAGGATGGAACCAGAGCTGGAACACTGGCAGTTCCAGTTAGAGCCTGGGATTCCTCATGCCTAAGAACTGACACAAGAATAAAACAGAAATTTCACTGGAATGTTACTCCTGTATGAAAATTGCATCTACAGTAATTTTCTAGAAGAGCAATTTAAAAATTGAAAATCCAGAGGAGGTATGTGCCAAGATCTGAAAACTCCTCCCCCCACCCTATAAACCCTTGGAGGCTACAAGAAAGATGGAGGGGGAGTTTTTACCAGGGACACAGTGACAGGACAGGAAGGAATGGATTCAAACTGAGAGACAGCAGGTTTTCATTAGATAGTGGGAAAAAATATTTGGCTGTGAGGGTGGTGATGCCCTGGCACAGCTGCCCAGAGAAGCTGTGGCTGCCCCATCCCTGGAAATGTTCCAGGCCAGCTTGGATGGGGCTCTGAGCAGCCTGGTCCTGTGGAAGTGTCCCTGCCCATGGTGGAGGGGCTGGAGCAGCATGGTCTTTAAGGAATTTCCCAACCCAAACCATCTGGTGATTCTGTGAGCTCTGGACATTGTGCCCATCCTCATGTGGACACAGAGCATCCTTGATAGAACCTCACTAGAGCCACACATGGAAAACCTCCCCTAGATTCTGAAATTTGCCACCCAAAATCATAGACAAAGCAACTGGTTTTAGTGTCTATTCCAGTACTAGCTTTGAATTATTTGCTACATTTATCACCAGAAACTAACCTAAGGCATCAATTTATTGATTTAATTTTGTGATCTTTCTACTATTCAAGCATTACTATTCAAAACATAAAATCAATCAATAATTAAGACATAAAATGAATTCATACTATTACCTTGGTAATGTGATTGTTTAGGTACAGTTCCCTTGTATGTATCAATAAAACTGCAGAAATGTTGCAGGGCTACTATTCAAAGGCACCTGGACAGGCTAAAGAGATGGGCTGGCAGGGACATCAGAGAGTTCAGCCCAGATGAAGTCCTGCATTTGGGATGGAATAACCCAGTGCACAGGACAGGCTGGCTGGACCTGGTGGACAAAGGGCTCCACACAGCACAGGGCACTCCTGTGGCTAAGGGCAGCCCCAGGCTGGGCTGTGACACAGCAGCATGGCCAGCAGGGCAACACTGGGATTGCTCTTCCTCTCTACTCAGCACCAAGGAAATTGCAGCCAAAATCCTGAGTGCAGTTTTGGTGTCCCCAGCACAAAGCCCTGACGTGTGGGAGTGAGTCCATTGGGCTGGGCACGGTCAGGGGCAAGGAGGGTGCAGAGAGACTTCTCAGAGTGCACACAGGAAGGAGGAGAAGTGGAAGGCACAGGTTGTGAAGTCCTTTATATATGACTTGAGAGAAGCAAAACACATTTTGATTGACTTGGGGTTTGGTTTTTGTTAATTTGGTTGGTTTTCCTATCATGAGGACGTTGAAACACTGAACTGCTGCCCAGAGCAGCTCGAGAATCTGCAGCCTTGGAGACACTAAACTCGGCTGGAGAAGGGCTGAGCCACTGACTGTGAGACTGGCTCCAGGTAGGAGACTGCTCTGGGGGGCCTGGGAAGGTCTCTTCCAGCCTGTGTGCTTCTCTCATTCTCTGAGAAATTCTTCTTCTTTCCAGCTGGGTCACAAAAGCATAAACTTTCAGGGTTCACATGATTTCTAATGTGAAAAATGGGAAACAGGTTTTATCCACGCTAAAAACTTTTGGTGATTATCAAAGTCAAGCTTGATTTTAACTGCATATTCGTATTTTTTAAATGGGATACCAAACAAAGAATGGAAAAATCTAAGAAGCAAATCTATTGACAAAAAAAACCCCAAGTCCATTCTTCATAGGTAAATTGTTATGCAGATTTTTTTTTCCATTCCTCAAATTTTTCACAGGGTCTGTAAGCAGAAGATTCACCATTATAAAAAGGTATTCTTCTATGACAAAACAATGAATTGGAAAAAACTTCAGGAAACATACAAAAAGGTAGTTCTTAGAAGATTTCCAGATCAGAAAATGTTGGATAATTATTTGAGCCTAGCCTCTGAACAGTTTGTCATTTGTTCCTTCCCCTTTAATGCTATGGCCTGAAGGAACAAAAAAATTAGGAGATTATTGGGAAATCTTCAGAGAACAGCAGTATTAAGATATAAAAGCACATTCAACTTGTTATTCTCAACAATTTAAACAAAAAGAAAATGAAAACCATAGAGCCCCACAGAATTTCATCTCCTTGGAACTTCTCTAGCTACTGAAATTCTGAGCCAAGTAATTAAGTAAACCTTAGTGCAGCACAGGAAGGTACATACAAATAAACAATCTGTGAAATAGGGAAAAGACTGCAGTGCAAAGGTTCCTGCTGATGGGCAGCCACACACACTGGCACCCTTCAGATCCTGCTTCCTGGCCTCCCTTTGCACCTTTCTCACTTGCTGTCTTCTCTGTCTCATCACTATTCCCCTTACTGCTGTCCCCATCCCTTTGTTTCTCTGAGCTTTTATGGCAGTGTCTACGAATTTGTCTAGAATCATGACTTCAGAAGCAGCTTGACAGGCATTCAAAGAACTAGAATTTATTTCCCCATCATTTTGCTGCCAGGGAACATGCTGGCAAGAATGCAGCAGCACTGCACGTGTGTGCTGGGTGTGGCTCAGCCTGAAACACGGGGGCCCTGGGAATGGAACCCTCTGTGCTCAAACAGAATGAGCCATCACCATCCCAGTACCAACACCTGCCTAAACACAGGTACAATCTCAATTCTTTATTTACCAAGTCTTTTAGACAGAATCTTGAGATGGCTTTTCAAAGAGCTCAACTCATCTGGATGCAAAAGAAGCTCAGAGAATACTGATAATCTTCAAATTAAGGTCAGAACTAATTTATAGCAATGTCTTTTAATCCCGAGAGAAAACAAAATCTTGATGTAGCTCTCTACTCCAATGGATTAACCTGACTCAGGCAAAATGCAACTTCATAGTCTGAATTTGAGATTTAGGTAAAACTCACCAAACACTGAAAAGATTCCCAGCTTAATCTCTAGTATTTCCTTTTTGCTCTGCACATACAATTTGTGAAAAGAGGAGGCACAACCAATATTACAATGGTAAGAGTACAATAGCATGAGAGTGCTGGGCAGCAGAAATTCCCTGTTCTGACATCACCTTCAGGCATTTAAAAATAACTTTGAGAGGAAGAATTTATTTAAGTCTGATCTTAATACTGTTTACACCACAAATAGAACGAGATCCATTTTTTTCCATTCTTCTAAACTATTTATTTAACAACTCTGTTTTCAACCCTCCCCCTCTCTTCCCAAAGCCACACCAAGTCTGAAATAGAAGATTATTCAGCTGGAGAATCCACCCTGTGCATGTCCAGCTCTCCATCAGCCTCTGTCCTGCAGTGATGCCTGTGTGCCACAGTGACTGTGCCTTTGTCTCTCCAGCTCGTGGCAGGGGAGTTAAACATCAGCACGAGGGAGCAGGGTCTGATGTGTGCCAGGGCACAATGCAGGAATTCAATAACAGCTCCCAGACAGTGGGCTTTTATCAGCACATTCCACAGTGGTGGTGGCTCCACGTCAATGCCAGGCCCGAGTGTGTCACTGCAGAGTGCGAGCCAGTGTTTTCCCCACGGGCAAGCCACTCTGATTGACTCCCCCCATTAACATGGAGGGTGGATATACATTTATTGAAGGTTCTAATGGAAGGCTGAGGGACTCCTATCCTGAGGCCAGAGCAGAAAGACAGCCTATCACTTCATGTAATGGTAGCCCATGTGTGACAGACCTGACCTACATTTCCCCCTTTCTTTCTCACAACAGCCTGTCACTGTTTTAAGAAGCTATTTTCTGAGAGCTATAAAAAGGAATGCGTGCTAGAGCTAGTTAATATGTTACACTGAAATATTATTTACCAACCTGCTTTACAAAGGCTAGTTTAGACCACGGATGAATTATGAATGCTACCTAACACCCACAATGGAAAAGGATGTGTCCTAATGATTCTGGTTATAAATCCATACACAAAGAACACTAGGTGTAGATGGATTAATACTTACATCTAAAACACTGCAACAAAATGGAGCATAAAACTCAAAATTAAGAACAATTAATGAAGCTACCTTCATAAAATAAAAAGGGCTAAGGTCTGCAATTAGTGTAAATTTCATAATAATTCAAACTATCGGGAATAATGCCCCCTAACGTTTTGCTGGACGTAATTCTGTGTTTTCAGCAGCTAATGTATGTGTAGCTCAAGCTATAAATAATGGATCCACGTTTGAAAGTAGGACAAGAGGGAAAGAAACACTCGGTTCAGCACTAAACAGCATTTTAAAATACCATCTAACTACCACTCCCAGCCCCTGCTTATTTAAAGAGCTGCTGCCACTCCAGCACTCCTTGGCAGGAACCTACCACGCTGCTGCAGGTCATACTCTTTTTTTGTCTCCTCGTTCCCTAGAATTTTCCACGCTTGAGCAATTTCCATGAACCGCTGCACGCGCTCCTCCACTTCTCCTGCTGCCACATCTGCCTCCTGTTTGTCGGGATGATACTGCCAATCAAAAACAACATAAAAAAAAGGGTTGGGGGAGTGAAAGTGAGGAGGGTGAGAGAGGAGCAATCAATAATGCATTTGATCCTCAGTAAGGAGGACAGAGAAAAGGAGAAGGTCTAAGCTGAGGAGCCAAAGGAAGGGAGATGTTGATGCTGGGCACAAAGAGGAACCTGCCAATTTAATTATCCCACTGCAATGGCAGCAGAAGCAGCAGTGGCACAAGTGTCACCATGTGCACTGACGGCATTTTCTGCATAATTTGCTGATGGAATCGCTGGCCTTCTGGACAATTTACCTAGAGAGTGACTACCACAAACACAGATAGGTACATGCAGGGGACCACGACACAGGAACAAGAGGAGGTGCTGGCAGCTCTCTGATACTACACAGAGCTGATTTAAACATAAGCACTGATGTTTAGTTAAAGCTATTACAGATAAATTGAATGCTGTATTACATGTGCCGAGCTTTTTTTATGATTTAAATGGTAAATAAAATATACATGATCAAATATAATTTATACTACATGTAATTCTACTTTTGAAACTATGCCTCAACATCTTTAATTTCTTCCAGTTCAGTGAATCAATAGCCCTCCCAAATACTTAAAGTCACGGATCACTGGCTACAAAATTGTGTCATTTTAGTTAAGAAATGGTTATTCAAGGACATGGTTATTCAAAAAATCCCACGTTAAACAGGCAATAATAATTAAAATGGTAACACGTTTTCTTTCTCATGTGTTCTGAGCAGAGCATTCTGACTTGAGTGGTTCCAATGTCTACTGAAAAGGAACCCTCAAAGCTCCATCTTCCTGTAGCTTTCATTCATCTCCAGTAATCTCTTTTTTCTGATGTTTTTAATTGCTCAGTACACATGATGGAGCAACAGGAAACAGCACTTAAGTTGAGAAAGTTGCAATATAATCAGACCTACCAGCTGATACCTGTGTCACAGACCAAGTTTTCCCATATTCTGGAGCTTTAACTGCCCTTTATACCCACATCAGCTGGGGCACTGAAACGTGAAGCAGATTTTAAGATGTGGAACACTTGTTCTCTAAGTATTTAAGCAGATTTCTGATTAAATGAATCTCTCTGCTTTAGTTGATAATTCATTTTGATACGAAAAGAATACTAGTAACATGTGTAGTTGCTAAAATCCCAAATGTAAAGGAGCATTTGTCCTGGAGTCTATTTGCTCACTGATGTATGTGTCACTGGCACTGATGGGTGTTACCCAGACAAATCCCCTGTTCAACAACAGCAGGGATGGGTGAGCAAAATGCTTTCACCTCAGGTTTCTTACAGGTGTTTTTCCATACACAGGTGGATGTACCTCCAACCTCACATATGAGTTCTGTGCACAAAATCCTGATTTTGTTCCACTTGAAGTCCCCTCTGAATTCAAGGCTGAGAACTATCTTACAACTTGCTGAAAACATGGCTTGATTCATAAAGATTCATCCCTTTTGTATCTCCTCAACCGAAGATGACAAAATTCTAAGGTGCTAACAAAACCAAAACATTCTGGTCATTGCATTAAGTGATTGCATTCTGTATAGGTAACTGCTAGATATTGGGATTGGCCACAAAGACCACACGTTCTCAGATCAGGTTCTTAGAAATACATGGAAACATGACTGACCAACTGCCCAAAGCAGAGCTAAGCCCAAAGCATGCTGTCTTCTCTCCTGCCAAGAGTGTTGAGAGAACACTCCCACAAAACTGGTCACACTTTGCTGCACCAAAACTCATCTGACTGAAACATGATTCTGAACTATACTGGAAGGAGACAGCAAAATACAGGAAGCCAGACATCACAAAAGTACTGTGGAAGAATAATAATCAATGCAGAAAACATTTCTCTGTTCATTTATTGAATAATGCAGAAAATTCACTATTCTTCAGGTTTATCACATAGCCCTTAACTCCTTTCCTATAGATTTGGAGAATTTTGTATCTGCAGCATATGCCATTTTTATGTTAGAAAGACTACAATTTCATCTAACTTGTACCAAGTCCTCTGTAAGGGACTCATTAAAGTACACAGCTCTATTTCTCTCCATTTTGGTCTCCATGCCTTCTGAACCTATTTGCTCCTTCCTCTCTTGGCCTTTCCTCTATTATCACCTAATGCCTTTAGCAAACTGTAGCTACACTAAGAAAAAACATCGAACATCAGCTCTTTTACTCTAATACTCCTCTTATTCTTTTTTTATTCCAGTGACCCTGTTTCATCTGGATTTATGTACTTATTGTTATGCTCTTACTGACTTGTTTTCCTACTCTCTAGCTTGCTAATCAAAATCAGGAATTTGTCTGTAGCAAAAACCCACCCTTGATTCAACTGCCCTTCTCTTCCCTCTCCAAGACAGCAAATGAGGTTATTTTGGACACAGTTCAGCCACTCAGACACAGAGGTACCAATGTTCAGAGGGAGCACTATAATGTCCTCTGTCAATACCTCAGACATAAATCAACCATACTCTTTTTTTTGGGACCTTTCCTCACTCCCAGTTACCAGATTCTTGTGTCTGATGCTGCTCCCTCTCCAGCATAACCTTCAGAGGAGCTGCCTGAAGAAACAGAGCCAGGGCTTTGGTTTTGTTGTGCAGGAGGTGAAATATGCTGGATGTCTGTGCTCTGCTGCTGTGTGCCATGCAGCCAGCCTTATTTCTGGGTTAATCTCAGCTGCAGACAGGGCCTGTTTCCTACTCCACCTCCTCCTTCAGCTCCAGCTGAACTGCTGCTCATCTCTCCCTCGTGCACCCAGCTGGGAGGTTGGACTCAGAATGCTACAATCCACTCCTCAGGACCTGTGCAGGTGAGTTCATGTCACTCCCAGCCCACCTGAGCACTGTTCCCAGCCCTCCTACTGGACACATTTAAATTTACAGCTGCACACGTGCAATGGTTTGGGCAGCAATACTTCATAAAAATAACTTTTTGCTGAGCACTCATCCTGATGACTGTGATCAGAACCAAGTTTTACCAACGTGTTACTGTTTTACAGGATTTTATATAAACAGTAATCAGCTGAGGGAAGGGAAAATGAAGAAGGTTGGTGATACATGCCCAACCTAATTTGCCTTTTTTATAGCCCTACTAGAAGTAACTTGCTGACTCCCTGTCTGGGATTTGTATCACTTTACAGTGTATGATGCTTTGCAGTTCGTCTGAATGCTAAAAAAGAAACCAATTCATTTTGGAAATACATTAGTTCATCTGATAACATACATGTGATACTACTGGTCTCTCTAAATGTCACATTGTCCTAGTATTTCTTGAGGACTCTGGTTCTTGGTGTAAGATTTAATTCAAAAACAATTTCTTAAAGGTTTCATTTCCTTTAGCTTTTGAAATCGCTAAAAAAATTTGAAAAAGCACGAACCTTGAAGTCCAAAGCTCGTATGAGAAACACACTTCAAGCAGTGTCTGTTGGAGACTTGATGAAATGTTTGGCACTGCAAAGCAACCACAAGGAAAAGCTGGCTAACACAAACTTAACCTCGTGCCCTTTTCAATTACAGTATCATTATCATACCTTGATAAAACAACTCCATTCTACTGTGTTATTCTCAATATACATCAGACTGCACCTGTCAAAAGGTTGGGTACTGTGAGGAACAATGTATCACCTGGCAAACACACCCTGAAACACAGACACAAGTGCAGTTCACAGTTCTGTCTTCTCTCAACTATTCAAAAAGTTAGAAAATTTTCATGGAATTTTTTTAGGTAAATTACTTGCATTTCATTATGCTGATGTATTGCCTTTGATATCTGCTACAGAATAAAGAACAAGCAAGTAAACAGCTTTTCTGTCTTAAAAAAAAAGGTGTTAATGTTGCTGCAAGTGTAGACTGTGAAAATGGCTTGAGTTCCAACATCTATTTTATTTATGATATTGTTATTTGTTCAGTGTAGCACACAATGAGGTTTGTATAAGAATGTGGAACCTGCAGCAGCACATTCAACTGCTACTGTCTGAATTTCTGCCTACTTTACACTCTGTGAAGTTTGGACCCTTCTGCACTGTAAGAAGTGCAAAACCAATCCCTGGACTTTGATCCCTGGTCGTTAATGTGACCATTTAGTCAACAACTGGTATTGGATCTCAGAAAGTGCCAGCAGGCCTCGAGAATCTCACCCACAGGATGAGGAGGCACAGAGCTGAGCTTTGGCTGAGGAGCTCCCTCCTCCCAGCCTGCTGCCAGCTCCTTACCTTGGGCAATAAATAGAACGGGGTGACTGATTTGAATCAGATTCCAATTAGCAAGCAGACACCCTCCAGTTAAATCAATGTAAAGTACATTTCTTACTGGGGCTCATGAATTAATTTTTCCAAAGACATTTACAGCACCCAGTGAGAATCAGCTGAATAGAGCTCAGTGGGAGGGAGGGTGAAGAATTACAGGACTGAGTTTCACACCAGATTTGAAATCTCCCCCTAAACTGTGGAATAAACCACAACTAAACCACTTAATATGGTCAAACTTTTACTGACAGCTGCTTTTCCACAAGCCTGATTGAAAAGGCTGGTTATTTAGAAAAGGTTTAAAAAGAACTATCCCTTCTCATTTAGTAATTAATACATTATTATGGCTACTTTGCTTTGTGTATGAAGGGTATTCACTCCAAAAACAAAAGATGCACCATATCCCTAATTCCATACATCAAACCAGGAGGTTTCACTTTCTAGGAAAACTGTGTGCAAATTTTTATTTCACTTACAAAAAAGTGATTTAATCTACTACTGTGTATTTATTTTCACAGATAACTGTAAAAAAACTCCTCCCTGCTGAAGTGACACATCTTTTTAAGGAAGCCACTTAAAATGGAAACTTGCTTTTTTCTGTCTGAGGAAACTGAAGAGAAATCAGTTCTAATTTTTTTTCCAGGATCAAATTAAGGAGTACTCTCTACCTTCTACAGCTTTGTCTTTCCTACTTTCCAATATTTTCTGCAAAGTTGTCAAGTTTTTGCTGAAACCTT